GAGTCAGTGACGAGTCAGAGTGATGAGTTAGAGTGAGGAGTCAGTGACGAGTGACAAGTTAGAGTGAGGAGTCAGTGACGAGTGACAAGTTAGAGTGAGGAGTCAGTGACGAGTGACAAGTTAGAGTGAGGAGTCAGTGACGAGTGACAAGTTAGAGTGAAGAGTCAGTGACGAGTGACAAGTTAGAGTGAGGAGTCAGTGACGAGTCAGTGATGAGTGAGGAGTCAGAGTGACGAGTCAGAGTGACGAGTCAGTGACAAGTGACGAGTTAGAGTGACAAGTCAGTGACGAATGATGAGTCAGTGACGAGTGACGAGTCAGAGTGAGGAGTCAGTGACGAGTCAGAGTGAGGAGTCAGTGAGGAGTCAGAGTGAGGAGTCAGAGTGACGAGTCAGTGACGAGTGACGAGTCAGAGTGAGAAGTCAGAGTGACGAGTCAGTGACGAGTCAGAGTGAGGAGTCGGTGACGAGCGACGAGTCAGAGTGAGGAGTCAGAGTGAGGAGTCAGAGTGACGAGTCAGTAACGAGTCAGAGTGACGAGTCAGTGACGAGTCAGAGTGACGAGTTAGAGTGAGGAGTCAGAGTGACGAGTCAGAGTGAGGAGTCAGAGTGAGGAGTCAGTGAGGAGTCAGAGTGACGAGTCAGTGAGGAGTCAGAGTGAGGAGTCAGTGACGAGTCAGAGTGAGGAGTCAGAATGACGAGTCAGTGACGAGTCAGTGACGAGTCAGAGTGAGGAGTCAGAGTGACGAGTGACGAGTCAGTGATGAGTCAGAGTGACGAGTCAGTGATGAGTTAGAGTGAGGAGTCAGAGTGAGGAGTCAGAGTGACAAGTCAGTGACGAGTCAGAGTGAGGAGTCAGAGTGACGAGTGACGAGTCAGTGATGAGTCAGAGTGAGGAGTCAGAGTGACGAGTGACGAGTCAGTGACGAGTCAGGGTGAGGAGTCAGAGTGACGAGTGACGAGTCAGTGATGAGTCAGAGTGACGAGTCAATGACGAGTCAGAGTGAGGAGTCAGAGTGAGGAGTCAGTGACGAGTCAGAGTGAGGAGTCAGAGTGACGAGTCAGTGAGGAGTCAGAGTGAGGAGTCAGAGTGAGGAGTCAGATTGATGAGTCAGTGACGAGTCAGTGACGAGTTAGAGTGAGGAGTCAGAGTGAGGAGTCAGAGTGACGAGTCAGAGTGACGAGTCAGAGTGAGGAGTCAGAGTGAGGAGTCAGAGTGACGACTCGGACTTCTCTTCCTCCAGCTTTGCAGAGAAGAAGAAGTCCTGATGTTTCTGCTGAGGCTGCTGGAGCTGCCGGGTCCACCTCAGCAGGAGGAGCTGCAGGTGCAGGAGGAGCTGCAGGTGCAGGAGGAGCTGCAGGTGCAGGAGGAGCTACAGGTGCAGGAGGAGCTGCAGGTGCAGGAGGAGCTGCAGGTGCAGGCCCTGGTCATCCTCAGTTGTTTGGCTCCACTCCTGTTGGTGGACTACATGTCCTGTCAGGGAAACATCTACCTGCTGGTCCTGCTGGACCGGTGCACTGAGGCAGGTCGGTCCCCCTGCTGCTCTGAGTTGACCTTTGACCTTTGACCTGTTGATTACAGAGCTGTCCACCTTCCTTCCTGTGTTTGACCCTAACATGTTAAAGTGATTTTATTCAGGGGGATTCCTCTGGTTTCAGATGGTCTCCTTGGTGGGGGTACCAGAGGAGGAGGAGGCAGTAGAAAGGCTCTGATGAGATGCTGCATCAGAACTCTGAGGTCCATCACATCTCTGGCTGACCCGTCTATAAACCAGGACCTGTGTGACCAGGGGGCCATCAGCCAGCTCCTGGGTGGGTGCAGTTAGACCCAGGTGGAACCCTGTGACGACCTCAGGTCACTCACAGCTCGGCTGATTTCCCTCCTCAGGTGTTTTGATCCATTTGGAAGCGAGTTCAGAGTTGGAGGAGGTTCTGAGGGTGGAGATGATGTGTGACGTTCAGCTGATCCTTTCAGAGCTCTGTGAGACAAACCTGCACCACCAGGTGGAGCAGCACGACGCTGTCAGCTCCTCTCTGCTCAGGTGTCCTCACAAACACTCACACTGTGGTCCTGCAGGAGCTGTTCGGCTCACACGGAGCTCAGGTGTTGGTGGACTTCCTGAAGAAAGGCTCGGAGAGGTTCTGCAGCGGTTTGGGACACGACAGGCTGCTTCTGTGCACAGTCGACTGTGTTTGGTCAGTTCAGAACCAACCAACAAATAAACAAACAAACAAACAAACAAACAAACAAACAAACAAACAAACAAACAAACAAACAAACAGAAAACTATGTGATAAATCTTGTGCCAGCAGGATTGAATCTGAATGCATTGGTTTGAAAACAAATTTCACTAAATTGAAACTGAATTTAAAGTTTTGTATCTGAATTAATTTTTTTTTTTTTTATACTTATTTTTTATTGAACATTTCTGAACATATACAGTGGAGAGG